TTGAAACGATGATTTTATATAATTAAATTTTTTCAATATGCTTTTATTAGTAGAAATTAGAAATTAACTTATGTTTTAACAAAATATTTTTAAAAATCAGAAAAAATATTATTATATTATTTAAAATTATTTTTTATTTCATCAAATTTTTAATTATCATTTATTATAATGCAATATTAATTTTAAATAATATAAATTTATCTGATGAAAATTCTAAACTATATTTTCAAAAATTATATTTTTTCAAATTTCTGAATTAAATGTTTAAAATATTATTTATAACATATAATATACAATATAATATATAACATACATTTCCAAAATTAAATTTTGTATTATATTTATACATTTAAAAATTATTTCTTACTAATAATCTATCGTTTTCTCTATATCATTTTCTTTATCAAAATTTTATTATTTTTTTTATGTATTGTTGTTTTTAATCAATTCTTTAGCTTCAAATTAATTTTTCAATTTTACTTCATTATACAAATTGTTCTATAATTTTTAGCATTTATTTCAAGAGTTAAATATACATTTAAATACAATAAAAAAAAGTGCATATAATCATTCATTTTCTTTATTCTCGTTTTTAAGATTTTATAATAAATTAACAAATTTTTATAATATTTAATTATCATTACAGAAAATATTCATAATAATTACTTTATATTTCTAAACTTGTTTATATCAAAAACTTGTTTATATATCAATATATTTTATATCAATGGTTCCTAATATTTTTTGAATTTTTTAAAAAATTCTTCTATTTTATTCTAAACTATAATATTTGAATATTTTTGATAGATATAATTTTAATTATATCCATAAATAAAAATTAAATATATTGAAATGTCAAGAACGAAATAATAATAGATTTTCTGCATTCAATTTATTTATTTAAAAAGAATTCATTTACAAATCGCAAAGAATTTTGTTCTTTTTCAAAATTTCTTATATTTCATAAAAAAAAATATATATGAATTTTTCATTATTTTCTGATAAATAATTTGAAAATTATGAGATATCGCGTATAAGAATAATTATATGTATGAATATATGTATATTGCAAAATTATAGAAAATAAAAATATTCAAAAATTTAAAATCCTATAAAAATTAAAATTTTAAATCTCAAATCTTGCTATCTTATAACTCAAAACTCTTGAAACTATAAAAAAATAAATAAATAATTTACAAAAATACTGTATAATCTTTTTTATAAGAATTTTTTTAATAATAATTTATTCATAATGATTAATAATTATATAATTAATATATTAATAATTAATATATTAATATTATACAAGTATTCATATCAATTATTATTATAAATATATAAATATTTATATAATTATATATTTAATATATATATTTATATATATTTATATAATTATAATATCTATATTGATTACTATTCAATTGAATTTGTTTAGATTTTAGATTTATTTTAAATGATTCGATTTTATTATTCTATTATTATATAATAGTTATATACAATATATATTATAATAATTATATATTATAATAATATTATATAATATTATAATAATATAATATATTATATAATAGTTATGTATAATAGTTTATATGAAGAAAAAAAAATTTTTTTCAAATAAATTTTTTGTATAGAAAAATAATCAAAATTAATAATAAATTAGTTTTAAAAATATGTCTATAAATTTAAGTAAGTTTAAAAAATTTTAAGAAATAAAAAAAAATATTTTGAATTTTGAGAACTTTGAGTTTTGAAAATGTTAAAATTTTAAAATTTTTTGATTCAAATTTTGTAAATCTTTAAATAAAATTCACTTTACTAAAAATTCACTTTAATAAAAATTATTATGCGAAAAAATTTTATAATTTTATAATTCGTAATTTTTAAAATATCAAATATTATTAATAAATTATTATATAAAAGAATCCATATGATCTACTTTTTTTCGTTTGAAAATTGCAGCTATATTGAATTCTTAGAAGTTGAATCTATTATCTGACAACAAAACGAGATTAGACATGAGATTAGACATAAGATAGACATGAATATATTACTGAAAAAATTTACAAAGAACAATTGTTGTATTAGATCAAAGTATTACATATGTTTCACAAGAAATTTTGTAGAACAATTATCGATAAATGTTACTATATAATTTGTAAATATGAATTGTTCAATAATTGTTTTTTTTATTATAATATTCAATATATATGAAATAATTAATAAAATTGTATTTCTTTTATAGGATATCTTACGAGATATCTTACACACAATTAATCTATTAAACATGGATAATTATTTTTAAATATTTCAGATTTAATACGCAAAAAATAATTTCTGTAAAATCATTCTTTAATTTCTGTAAAATTAATTTTTAATGCCACAAAGACTTTGATAACTTAATTTTTTTATTTTATTATAATATCATTATAATATATTTTTCTTAATCTCATAAATTTATTCCTATTTGAAAAAATATGAATATATAAAATATATAATGATAAAAAAATATATAATGATGAAAAATATAAAATGATATTCATAATAATGATCAAATTAAGAATCTTTGTTTCTATTTCTTAATTCAAAGTTATTTATAAATGTAAAAATATTTTTTTTGTAAACAAAAATTGAATTATTAAAAATTTGTGGAATGTGATGTGAAATTAAATTTATAAAAAAACTATTAAAAAATGAAAAAAATAAAATAAAATAGAAATAATTTTTAAATTGTTTGCAATATTTTAAATAATTTGTTGATTAGATTTATTATTTACAGATTAGATTTTAATAATTTAAATTTTATTTTATAGAAGATAATTTTTATTTGCTATTAAAAATCATGAATAACAAAAAAGACATTTATTTCTATATTTTGTTTTATTCACATGTAATTAATATTTATTTTATCTTATTATCTTAATTATATATTCGATAATATAGTACTTTTATTAATATTAAATAAAATTAATACTAATAAAATATTAATATATTCGTGAGACATTGATCAATTCTAGTCAAAGAAAAATTAAAACAAAATACAAAAATGAATTTATTTATTAAAAGTCAAGTAATTTAAATTAGTGCATTAGATAAAACAAAGAAAATATAGAATAAGGCGAAAATGTAATAAAATTAAATCTATCCTATCTCATTTTGTGCCTTGCTTCATCTAATATAAATTAATTATTTATAACTTAATAAATAAATCTTATCAATATTTTTGTATACCAACTTTTGTATTTATTTATTAACTTTTGCTTTCTAAAATCAATCTTTCAAAGATATATTGATAAGATAAATAATTATAAATATTTCGCTTTAATTTTCTGTTATTTTAAATGAAAAAATTTTTTAAATAGAGTTTAATGATTTCAGAAAAAGTATATTCTGATGTTATTAATTTTTTTTATAAGCATAAAAAATATGTGAAATATGTGAATCATTAACTTTTTCTTTAAATGGGACCACATAACATGTATATTGTACCAATGATGATATTCTCTATAAAATATTATTACTTATATCCAAAAATTATTAATTTAGAAAATATTTTAATTTGAAGTTTGTTAAATTTATCATATAAAAAATATAAATGTTGAATATTGTGAGTTCAATATAAACAATAATTCATTATATAAATAGAATTCTTTACATAAATTAAATTTATGTAACTATAAATATAAAACTATACTATATAATTATACTATATACAAATATAAATATAAAACTATACTTATAAAACTATACTATATAAAAGAAAAATATCTTGCATGGTCAAAATATATTAATATATATTAAATCATTGAAAAATGATAAATGATGATCTAAAAATTAAAGATTTACCGAAAAGTAATAATATATTGTATTCTATTTTAGAATTTTCATAAAAGAAAAGGAATTAAAATTTATAATTAATTAAGATATTAAGGATAATTTAAACTAATAAAAGAAATTTAAAATATATAATATGTAATAATGTATATAATATATACTCTAATTTCTATTAAAGATTTTTCGAAATAATTTATATAGTTTTTATAATTTAAAGATTTTTTCGTTTACTGAAAATAGTTTATATATATTTTTTATAAATCCATTATATAATCCAAATAAAACTATTTTTATTTAAATGAATAAAAACAAACATTGAAAATTACAAAATTCTTACATAATGATACTTCAAATATAACGTCTGATATTTTTATCATTATATAATTATGATAAACTTTTTGATATTATAGTGCTACGAATCTAATGACATTTTAATATTTACTTTATAATATAAGATTTATATTTTATAATGTTAATGAACATTATATATTATATTTATTATATTATATTATATTTTATAATGTAAATAAATTAACAAAAAAAAAATTTTTAATTTATTGTTATATAATATAATGTTCATGTTTATAATATTTTATTATAAATTTAAAAATATATAATAAATTTTATATTTTGAATAGATTTTTTGAAAAATTATAAAAATAAGTATTTTGAAAAATTATAAAAAAAGTTACATGAACATAAAAATTACGAAATATTGGAATTAAAAACTTTTATATTTCGCTCATTAGGTATTTCATATTTTGTTTTGAATGCAGGCTTACAATAAGCAAAAAATATATGATTTTGAAATGTAGATATTATATTAAATACGGTAGAATTAATAATAGCCAAAGGATACATTAATATACATGGTTATACAAGCTATCGATTTGAGCAATATGAAAATGTCAAATCAACGAATAAATTTTGTAAAGTTCTCTTCACTTGTCTGGTGAGTTACCTTTATCTTTTACTCTTTCTTTTTCTTTCTCTCTCTCTCTCTTTTTTGTCCTCAAGCCGTATCTTCTTCTTTTTCGAATAATATAATATTCGGGGAAAGTGATGATCACAGTTTCGTATAAAAGCGCATTCGTGTCACACAGGAACCACATTCGAAATCATACTTCCTTCCATTGGATTTGATTGGTAGTAATCACCTATCTTTTAAAATGAAATTTCTCGTGAGTTTTTTTTTCATATTTTATTTTATTATATTAATTATTTTTAATAACATTCTTTAGCTAAATATATTACTTAAATAAAATTTTTAAAATCGACATTTGCAATTATATCTTTATAATTTGTTACATGTTCTCTTATTTATTACTATGTTTCAATTTATTATATGTATTATATATATCAATTTGATAACATGTAATATTGTACGTTTTGACTTTATAAAATTTAATTTATTTGTTCTTTTATATTAGTGGATCAATGCAATAATAAAGTATAATATCATATCATTCAGTTTTTGCTTTTATTTTTGCATTTAATTTAACATTCAATAATAAATCATTGGTTAATATTATACCCAGTTATTTTATTTTATTTTTCAAATTTTATTGTTAAATTAAAAAAGATTAGATTTTCATAATTTTATATAATTTTTTAATCAACGATTAACTGTCCATTTAATGTGCTTCAAAACTTTTTTATTTTATTCCTAAATGTGTATTTTATTCTAAAATTTTTCTTATTTTATAAAATATTATTGTAATAATTGTAATAATTGTAATAATAATTGTAATAATTGCAAATGTATCTCAAATTTCACCATACTTCTTAGAATTTGACAAAATTAAAAATCAGATTTCGATTTATCTTTAATCTATTTTTTAGAACATGAAAAAAAATGTTTAAAGAAGTATATATAATATAAAACAATATTTACGCTACAATAATTTATATATAATATAATCAAATTATATATATTATATATATAATATAATCAAATAAATATAGAATATTATATTTATAATTATATATAATATAATTATATATAATATAATCAAATAAATATAGAAAGAAAGATAATAAACACTTGTTTCAGGTAGTAATCTTTCTTACAATCGTGGCAGTAGCTTCAGCCAATGTAAGCAGTCAACCGCCTGCGGTTATTGTTAAGCAGAGCCAAGATATTTCGGCTGATGGATCCTATTCCTTCTCTTACGAAACTGATAATGGAATTTATCACTCTGAAAGTGGAACTCCCATAGTTACTAATGCAAGAAGTGCACCTGTCGTTGTTACTCAAGGAGAATATCAATATTATGCACCCAATGGTGCTCCGATTAAAGTAAAATATGTTGCTGATCAGAATGGGTTCCAACCTGAGGGCGAACATATTCCTCTTATTTCTGCATCAATCAAAAGAGCACTTGAATATATTAGAACACATCCACCACAACCTGAACAATCTAATCTGAAATAAATTTGTGTTTCACTTTTTTTGATCACCAAATAATATTATATTTTGTACAAAATAGATATACAATAATAAACAGTCATTAACTACCTTAAATTTTTTACAGAAACTATTTAATTATATGTATAACCTTAAATTAAAATAATATTTTACCTAAATATGAACTATATTTTCTGAAATAGATAAATAGAAATAAGTATTTTTATTTATTTTTAAATGAAACGAAACTATATTTCACTTTTATTTAAAATACATAATAATTATATAAAAAAATAGTATTTTAAATAATAGTACTTTGAATAAATAATTTTTAATTTTTATTATATTACAATATATTAAAATCTTATTATTGCATATAACAGAACATACAGAAGAAACTATATCAATTTTTAATATCTAAGAAATAAAAAAAAAAAAATATCTTCCATACTTATTACGTTTTATTTAAATAGAATATAAAATATTTCATCACATTCGAATATAAAATGTTAAATGAAATAATATTTTCAAATAATATTTTTTTATGGAAGTATTTCAATTTTTTAATATTTCTTTTAATTTATTTCAAATTTTTTCTAACTTTCTATATTTCATCTCAATAATAAAATTAGATTTTATTTTTTTAATACAAATTAAACGATTTAAATAAAATAATCCATAAAATAAAATAATAAAAAAAAAGATTTGAATAATTTGATAAAATAAAATTTTTATAAATATCATTTTTGATTTTAATGATTTTGAAATTTGTTGTCAAAATCATCATTTTAAAGAACTTTTTCCTATGCTATAACTTTTTCTTATAATACTCTTTTATAATATAATATATAAAATTTTTTTAGTTTTCGAAATATTACACACAAAATATATTTACCACTGTATTCAATGCTAAACATTCTTAAAATTTTTTCTTAAATTAAAAGTGAATTATTTACAATATTTGTAAATAATATATTATGACATATATATATATATATATGTTATGAAGTATAGACAAGGGAGGGACAAAGTCTATAATTATCGAATAAAATTATAAATTTATTTACACTAAAAATAAAATTATTAATATTTATTCTTATATTATTCAATGAAGCTATTTCTTAAAACAAATTATGATTGATTAAAATTTATTTTCTTATTATTCTTATTTTTATGTTAATTTTTTTTAATTAATCTTATTTCATTCTTAAAATGAAGGAGGTGAGGAAAAAAATAAAAATATTAAATATTTTTAGGATATTTTTTTAAATAACATCACTTATTTTACAATTGAAATGCCAACAAATGAAGTAGAAAAACATCGAATAATAATTATAATCGACTAGAGATCTCAAAAATTTATGTATCTTTGAGTAGAGTGTCTGATTTATATCCAATTTATAATACTAAATCTGGATGGCCTTCGCTCTACTGACCGAAAAATATCTGGAGATTGTCTTTCTTTATTACATGATTTTCTATCTTCCTATGACATTAAGAAATGATTTGGAAATATATTATGGATAATTATTTCGTAAAAAAATAATTATTAAAATAATTATTAGCACATTAATAAATTAAAAATACAGAAAAAAAAAAACTAATTCAATTTTAAACTTTCTGATCAATATTTCATTCCGTGTCTATATTTAAAACTCTTTCCTGTCTATTCTTCATCAGTTTGTATTACCTACAATAACATAGAATATTCAGAATAGTTAAAATCAATATGTAATTATAAATTATTATGTTTTTTGATAATAAAGTATGATATAATAATAATAAAATAAATTTTTTTAAATTAAAATTATCAAATTTTTTTTTATAATATTTTTTTATATTTAAGTATCTACATTATTTTCGTTTAATGGATCTTATCTATTTATATTTATATAAGATAAAAATAAATAATTATAGTTATTCAATTTCGAATGTTATATTTTATAATATACTTATCCATAGCATTCATAGCACCGTATTGATGAACAATTCTCGAACGTAGTATGGTATATTTTAATATCCTAAAGTTGATTAATATTTTCTATAATAAATACATAAATAATAGAATAAAATAAATATATAAATACAGAAGTAGTAATACAAAAACATTTATAAATGTTTTGTTTATATAAAAAATAATATATACTCAAAACATAATTATTCAAAACATTAATTTAAAAATTTCTTTTGCAAATTGAAAAATATTGAAAATTATTGTTATATATATTATAGTATTTGAAAATTTATTGATTAATACTTATTAGTTTATTAGATTTGAAAATATTCAATATTATATAGTTTCAGTAAATATAAATTTAATTCATTCAAAAAAAATTTTTTTTTATACATTAACTTTATAAACTAATGTTAAATTATCTATGCAACTTTTTAATTTATAATGGAAAACAAAGAGTGAAAACAAATTTTTAAAAATTATTAATTTTTTAAAAAATTAATATGTGAAAATGTCAATTAGGTTTAATTATTAAGTATAAANTTAAATGAAGCAAAATTAGAATAGAAGAAAATGTGGAAGCAATATAACAGAAACAGAGAATAAATATTTAATATTTCACTCTCCAATATACTTTATCTAACGCAAATTTAAATTGCTGATAACCTAATAAATCTTAATCGACATTTTTATATATCAATTTTTATATTTGTTTTGGAATCAAAAAATTTCCCATAAATATATTAACATATCTTATATATTTTTTATTATCATTCATTATCATTCATCATTATAATTGCTATTATTGTATTAGAATATAAATATTAAAAATTGACTGAATATAAATATTAAAAATATATGAAATAGTAAAAATTTTTCCTCTTTCATTTTTTTATAGAGAATAATACTAAATTGTAATAATATAAATAAGAATAGAAAAAATATATTTGTGTGCGTATAAATAATATACAAAAATATGTATTATAAACAAATATGAATATGAAAATATGAAATACGAATTCTTGCGTAAATATATGAATAATAATATATTAATTTTATATGGTATATAAAATAAAATTTTAAATATAATTTCTAATATTATCTTATATATAATAAATCAATTTGAATATTTACATATTCACTATTCCTTACATAGTATTAATTTTATTTATTTTATTTGTATATGCAGTTTATACTTCATAATAATTCATTATAATATTATACAATATTTCATAATATTATATATTTATAAACATTTTATTATTTACTATCATAAATCAGATAATAATATTTTATAATTTTAATTCTAATAATAAATATATAGTATAATAATTTATGAGGATTCATAATAAATCTTTAACAAAATTGATATCTATCTTTTGATTTATTAATTAATAATTATATTTTAATAAAAATATAAAACATATTAAATTTATATTTCATAAAGATAAATATAGTTGAAGTCTTATAATTATTATCAAATAGTTTAAAAAATTTTTAAGAATATTTATTATAAATTATAATACATATAAATGTATTAATAATATTATATTAATAAATTGCATGATATATCAATATTATTTTTAATAATTATAATTTAAATCTATATATCTTTTATATTGAATATTTTGCCAATTTATATAATTCATAATCTTTTATTTAATATAAAATACAATGATTTAATGATATATAGTAATATGTCTATTTATAATATTTTTTATGAAATGTTTTTATTTTTTATACGTCATAATATTCAATCATAGTTCTGTTCATTAATTAAAATTAATTTTTTTCATTTTTTGAAAATATTTAAAATGAAACAAATCAATTTTAATGGAAACTGAATCGATAATCTATAATCTATATAAATCGATAATCGATAATCTATTTTTTTCTAATAAAAAGTAAAAGATTTGACTATTAAGATTTTTATTATAATAATAAATCATCCGAATTTTTTTAATTTGTATAGAGGATACAATATTTATTAATACACTTAATTTATTTTGTATCATATTGATTCAAAAATTTAAAATAAAATTACTTAATTTTGTAAATTTTTTTTTTATCTATATATTTAATTTGATAAAATTTGTTTCAATTACATTAAAAAGATTATAAAATATCATTATTTTATTGATTATAATGATTAATTTATAAATGTTCAAATATCAAAAAGATCTCTCTATATCTTGAATAATAAAGAGGAGAAGCAATTCTAAAGATGTTCCATAAAGATCCTTTAATACATTAATAAAGAATGATGAACGTTGATCCGAGGGGGAATTATGTTAGTGTGCTCTTCTTAGCTAATCCTGTACAGCATAACTGAGAGGTCATATCACGCCTCAACTTGAGATTTGTGGTTTCTCGACCCACCCATCTTCATTCGATGAACAATACTAGATAATCGATAACTCTAAGGTTGGTAACATCTTTTTACATTCCTTTGCAAGATTTACAAATACTATATTCCTTAAAAGAAGATATCCAAGGAAAATTTTACAATCTCTTTTATATTTTCCAATTACACATATATAATAATATATTCTTCAAAAACATATGTGAAGTATGCACTTTTCGAATATTCTGTTTAAAATTTAAAAATTATTTTACAATATTATTATATTATATATATAATCATATAATAATCATATAATCATAAATTATATTCTAATCTTATTAATATAAAACATTATTAATTAATCATAATAATTAAGCCACATTTATATTGGCATAATAAAAGTTAAATATTCATAAAAATATATGTATGATTATAAATTTTTTTTTAAAATTGTAACTTAATTTCTTTTTTTCTTTCTTTTCCTAATTATAATATTTGAGTTTAATTTATCTCTTACTTTTTCATTTTTTTCTCATATCATCACATGAATAAATAATAATGGATATATGTGTGTGTATACTTAAAATTGAAATTTTACATGAACGTATAAAGGATCGTGCCTATGATATTAGTCATATAGCAAATGATGATACATGCATACATATATTCATAACGAATATATAGAAATATGTATAAATACCGGATGCGCAGAATGCGCAATCATTGTCA